CTGGCTTTTTTCGGGGTGACCAATCCAATGAAATGATCAGAAATGTAAAAAATTATTTTTAAGTACCTGTATTTATCAATTTAAATAAATTTAGGCAACTTTTTATATACCTGATTTTGATGCGCAAGAAACCATGTGGCCATGATGATATCAAAAATATATATATTACACTTCATTCTATATTCATTGATCTTTCAAAATATATAAAAATTTTGATCTGCAAGTATATGGATTTCCATATATGGACAACATTGCATGGTCCCCAATTTTTTGTAGTGGAGTATTGCAATTAATTTCACTACCTTCCAGAATAGCTGGAGCTGTTAAACATCTAGCATTTCTGTAGTACCAATGAACAAGCTTGTTAAAGTTGTTTTCAGGGCCCAAGACACCTGGGAGGGGGCTGGATCACAGGCTCTTTTTTTTGTAGTGGAATCTTGTAATAGATTTTTCACTACTTTACAGACAAACTAGAGCTCTGAAACTTTAAGCATTTGTGTTTTCTTAATGAATGTGCATTTAAATATTTTCCAGGACAGAGGACCAGAAGGTCTATAAGGTTGAGACATTAGGGGTCATGCCCCATTTTTCTCAATTTTTTTTTTTTTTTTTTTTTGCATTTTCAATAAAGTAAAGATAACTTTGAAATATTGTCTTCAAAAAAATTGATTTTTGATCATTCTGTATTTAATGATTGAACTTTCTTAAATTGTTCTTAAATTGTTAAAAGTACATATGTTTATAAGATTTTTGATTTGCAAATGTATGGATTAAAAACAGTCATCCATCTAAAATAATACTTTTAACAGAATTTTACATTTTATAATTTAAATCTTTTTACATTGATCTGTCAGGCAACAACAATTAAAGGATACAAATTGATGTTTTCAAAAACAATAAACCAGTTAACAGCTCATTCCTACATTGCAAAATGTCAAGAAATATATATAAGGCAAAAAAAGGAAAGAAAAAAAACATTTAGCAAAAGACTGCTGAATTGTCTTAGGTGATTTTGCAGAAAACTTATGGTTTGTGATTCAAGATGAAATCCCAAGTTATCATTAGTGCTAAAGTCAATGCATGTTACGCCCTGTTGCCCTCAATTAAACGAAAATAACCAGCTTAAAGAAAAATTGTTTTGCTTTGTGTCAAAAGATAATGTGTGTGACATTGGTTTTATTTATTATTTAAAATAAATTTATAAAAATATTTCAAAGATTCTTTTTTTTTTCAGATGGTAAGGCTGCACAGTATAAAAACCATAGAAACTTTTACAATAACTGTCTCAATAAAGATAATTTTGACATTGATGCAGAGTGGACATTTTTGCTACAAGTTAGGGATCGTCCATAAAGTACGTACGCTTGGAGAGGAAGAAGGGAATCTGCAAATGGCGTTTCTGAGTAAAGGGGGCAGTAGGTCAATTAAAAAAGTATGGAGACACTAAATTAAAAAAAATATCATAAAATGTTGGGTTAGTAGGTTAAAAGCCTAGGTACTTTTAGGTAGTTAGAGAATACTCAGAAAAGCGTATAGCAAAATGTGGGTGGGGTAGGGGGCAAAAAAAAGCACATGTACTTCATGGACAACCCCTTATGGTATGTCACCATGCAATAGTATTGCTAGCACTGTAAAACGATTAACTGCAAATGTAAGTCTACAAAGCCGCATAAATTACCAGATATTAAATTGTAAAAAAATGCTTGACTGCTGTACTAAAAAAGTTTTATTTTATTTTTTTTCTTTTTTCAAAATTGAAAAAGAAAAACTGACAAAATTGCACACCACTTTAAAAATTGTTTGCAGTTAAAAGTAAAATAATTCCTGGAATTAAAAGCTACCATCAATTTAACTCAGAATCTATAGATACTAGTAACTTTAAACAAACAGGGTTGACCCTCATGGTCGTCCGGTGGCACAGGACGACTTGTTTTCTTTAAGGGCAACTGAAATTTTTTAAAAATGCCTGTCAGGGCGACAAGACAGTTTGATACTTACAAAAGTGTGTTGTGATTATTAACAAAACTATATTTTGATCTATAAAGATTTTATTCTTTGCGATTATTTAAAAGAAAATTTTAAAAAGCATTGAAAGTAGTATGCACTTCGTTTAATTTTACCAAACCTAATAAAAAGAAGCCAACACGTGATTTATTTTTTCGAAGCGCAACTGTACTGATTTTTTAGACATTGTTGTTGCATTTTGAAGCACGCTTCTAAATTTAAAATGAGTTTTAAAATTACATTTTCTTTTATTTCCAAATGCTATTGTCTCATTTTTTGAACCTTATAGTCGCATTTTAAATCACGCGAATGAACAGTTGAATCTTTAACACTGAATCTCTTTTGTTTTTCATTAAAAAAAATATACTTTTTTAAACTTTGTCAAACAAAATTAAGGAAAATAAAAAACATTATTAAAATGCAGGTGAAAAATCATTCGAACGCAATTAATGATGCAAATGGAGATTTTTTTTTCTAAAAAAAAAAAATCCTATTA